AGAAATACAACATTTTTGTCTACTTACTGTAAAACATTCTGATTGTAAGAATTACATTGTAGTACATTGTTCCCACAAAATATAAAAAACAGGGCAAATAAAATCATCTTGTCACAGTTTGATAGCACAGTGACTGCTTGTTGTATGTAGTCAAAGGAGATGAGAATTCAAAAAACAAATTGAAAACCAAAGAAGATCAAAGCCACGATTGTTTTACACTTTTCAACATTCATTTCAAACCTCAGAGATTTTGTATGTCAAACACAGGAGTGACAAAAAGTATTTAACAACCAATCATGTAAAAAGTAGAGGAATTTACTGACTATTTTCCCAGGTTGGGTTTATTTTTAGGAGTCTAAAAGAGGATAAAATCCTATTTGGAGTAAATGTCACAGCCTTGGTTTTGTGAATATTGCCGCAAAGGTACTGTAGTACTCATCAAAGATAGTGGTGATAAAAACATATTAAAAAATGATCTTCCTGTAATATGACAGGAAATGTTTAGAGTGCATTTCCTTTTTTCAGCACCACAGTATCCATATATGACATTTTTCAGTAGGGACATCATAAACTGAACAACTAACTAGAACCTTAAAACACATTCACTGAAATGAATTTGTTACTAAAAGAAAAAAGTACTAACAGCAAATATTAATTAGTAAGATTTGCTGAGATATGCAAATAAAAAAGTTATTGAAAGGTTTTCTTTCCTTCACCTGTGCAAGGGGAGTAAACTAAGACCTGTGATGGGATCAGTGACACATCTCTCCACTAGCTGGAGATAGGTGAGGTTCTCATGAGTGTTGGGGTCAAAGAAGCCCTTGGTGTCATCATCAGSATCAGACAGAATCTGGTTCATTTCTTCATCAAAGTAACCTCTTTGGTAAGCCACCTGTACAGGCACTCTGTGACTGTGTACGGGGTCAATGATGCCTCCTGTGGCAATTTGTGCTTCAAGGAGACGAATTCCATGATCTTTCACAATCAGATCTTTTTTCAAGGCTTGGAACAAAGAAATTGTGTTTCCAGTGTAGGGATCTTTGTAACCGGTGACYGCTCTTTCTGCTGAGAGCAGTTTCTTTCCCCACTCARTGCCAACTACTCTTTGGTCTACAGCTTCCTCTACAGAAAGTTTCTTGTTGTTCAGTGGGTCAATAACAAAACCAGTGGCAGCTTGGGCCTCCAGCAGAACCAGAGAAGTTCCAGGGGTCAGTAGTCCTCGTTGTTTAGCTTCATAGATACTCAGTGTCTCCTTGGTGGACTGCAGGTACACTCCTGCAATGCTGTTGGTTCCCTCGAGGTACTTACGCACTGA